GAAAATGACACATACACACCTACATAAAACAAAACTTTGATTTGTTAATGAATTTATGGTACTCTTCTGTTATCGGGACTGGATTTAGAAATGTGTATACTGTTATATATGTAACCGTAACTGTGTCAATTATTATCACTAATCATAACTGTAATATAATATAGTAAATTAGCAATGTAGAATAAACTATGTTTGTGTACATCACTAAGCACATACCCAACATATAAAAACAATACATGGTGCAGTCGGCAGAATAATTTAGCAGTAGCATATGCATCTAAGGCATTAACAGATACACAGAAGAATTATGCTCAAATTGAAAAGGAAACTTTAGCTATTGTATTTGCATGTGAGAAATATACATTTGGAAAATACATTACAGTGGAAAGTGACCATAAACCGTTGGAATCAATTTTCAAAAAGCCATTAAATAAATGCCAGTAAGATTACAAAGAATGCATATAATATTACAGCCGTATCAGTTTGAGATAAAATATAAACCAGGAAAAGAACTTTTTATAGCGGATGCATTATCAAGATCATTTTCTGATAAAGGATCTGATTTCTTTGAAGGAGACATAGAAGCTCATGTTGGATTGGTTGTAGAATGTATATCAATGTCTAAAGGCAAAATGGGAGTTTTTCAACTGGAAACAAAAAAAGATGAAGAACTACAAGTTTTAAAAAAAATTAATTAATACTGGATGGTCAGATGAAAAATGTATGGTTCCTGAACTGGTAAAACCATATTTTAACTTCAGAGAAGAACTATCAGAAGCAAATGGATTGATATTTAAAAATTCCTGTATTGTTGTATCAAGAAGTTTACGAAAAAAATATGTTAAATAAAATTCATTATTGTCATTTAGGAGTAGTAAAATGCAAGATCAAAGCCAGAGAAATATTATATTGGCCAGAAATGTCAAAAGAAATTGAAGATTTGGTAATGAATTGTCCAACATGTTTAAGTTTACACAAAGCTAATACAGTACAAAGTCTGAAATCAGAACTCGTCGGGACTTCAGCAATTCTGCATTTGGGATTTTTCCAGATATTGGATCATCAATTTAAATCTGGTAAGATGGCATGCAGAAATTATACAATTAAAAAGATGAAATTGTAATTTATGAAATAAAAGCAATTATAACCTAAAGGGTATCAAAATTTACAAAAAAAGAAAAAAAAGCTTAATATTTATTCGTTTATTTTATTAAACATTTCTTTCAATGTAAGTTATTTAAGTTACTTCATTTTTTGTGCTACTTTCTCTTTAATTCTATAAACAGACATAATTTCTTGTTCAGTTACAAAGTTCCACTGTTCAAATCCTATAATTGCTGTGTCGAGAATACCGACTAACTTGTCAATTGAAACTTTTTCGTTTTCAATAACCTCTGTGTCACTTTCTTCACTACTGGTAGCGATATTTTCTGCTACAAACTACAGATTTCGTAATATAACTGTAATATAATATAGTAGATTAGCAATATAGAATAAACGATATTTGTGTACATCCAGTTACCATCACTAAGCACATACCTAACATATAAAAACAATACATATACGTACGCACATGTGCATGTATGCAGACACATAAGTACATATATACATGCATACATTTCTAAAGCTGGTTCCGATAATAGAGAAGTACTGAATTTACTAATAACTAGTTACTAATTAAGACACAATAACATGCCGAACAAATATTAATTTAGAAGTCAAACAAAAAATCAGCGTTATATTTTCAAATTTTCACAGGACTAGTTTCGATGGTTTTATCGAACCATCATCTTCAGCTGAAAAGTGCAAATGAAAGAGATGATATAATTATTAGATAAGATACGAAAGCCACTGGCGTCATCTGTTGATGAAACCAGAACTAAAACATAATTTCTTTAAAGGCTGAAGGCAAAGATGGATTGGAATTAGAGTTTGTAAAAAAAGTTAAAAACATTTCTCCTAGAAATTTACTCATGGTTTCTTTTGATGTAAAATCATTATTCACCAATGTTCCAATGGAGGGTGCATTAAGATGTCTAGAAACCAGACTTCGCAAATTTCATTTCTCTTGCATTGACATTGATGAACTAATTTCTCTCTGTTTGAAACAAATGTTTTGTTTTCCAAAATAAATATTACAAGCAAACTGAGGGATTAGCCATGGGAAGCCCCCCTCAGTCCCATCCTGGCTGATATCTACATGCATTATTATGAATCAAAATTATTTGACACTTCCGGTATGGTTCCGCTACGTAGACGATACTTTTACTTTGTTTGAAGGTAAAAAAGGTGATTTAAATAAAGTTCTTTCAATAATGAATTCCATTTATCCTGCTATTTACTTCACTTCTGAACTTGAGACTTGCAATTCTCTTCCATTCCTCGACATTCTGGTCAAGCGTAACACATCCAACTTCAGTCCTACGGTTTACTGTAAACCTTCATCAGTTTGCCACACTTCAAATCATGTCATTCGATTAAACAAAAGTTAGCTTCATTTTATTACTATTATTAATCAAGCAGTTAAAAAATTGTCATCTCAACTCAGCAAAAAGCACACTCTTGTTTTAGGAGATTATAAGAATTCCGTTGTCATTCCCTTCTTTCTATCAATTAGTTGTAAAATTGAACGTATTTTGCAGAAATTTAACTTTTAGGTCGTTTATTCTCCCATCAATAAAATTCCGAGTTCCATACTCAAAGACCCCATTCCGGATATGAATTCCTGGGGTATTTACAGGATTCCTTGCCAATGTGGCTTAATTTACATTGGCCAAACTAAGAGAGCCTTAAAATTTCATTTTAAGAAACATGATATGTTAGAAAAAAGGAAACACAGAATCTTCTGTTGCCCAACATTGTTGGTCCGAAAATCACACTTTCAATTTTTCTGGTGTCAAAATTATTCAAAAAACATTTTCCATTGGTGAACTGGATTTTCTAGAGGCATTTCACATTCAAAAAATTTTTTCTGTTATAGTTAATGACCCTAATTCCAATCCATCTTTGCCTTCAGCCTTTAAAGAAATTATGTTTTAGTTCTGGTTTCATCAACAGATGGTGCCAGTGGCTTATCTCCTGTCCAGGCTTTCTTATCTTATCTAATAATTATACCTTATCTCATTTATTTGCATTTTTGCAGCTGAGAATGATGGTTCAGTAAAACCATTGAAACTAGTAAAGGTTATTAGTTAAAATTTAATAGCAGAATTAGATTTAAAACTGAATAAAACATTTTGCTACACTAACTAATGCACACTTACTTACATATACATATTTGAACTATACTATGTGCAATACATTTAAAATACATTACAAACAAAGCAAAATTATAATTTGTCATATACAATATTAACTATCTAAAATGACATTATTACACATTATTAAGGCCATTCTTAGCGGGAGTGCAGCACATAAAATTATGTGGGCAGCCAAAATTGGGGGCGGCCGGACTCTTGTGATATCATGTCTAAATATTTTAAATTCATTAAATTCATTGTAAGTACTTGTCATATGTAAGTATTTTTTATACATTTTGTCATATATGAGTCTTATATTTTGTCATATATGAGTATAAAATAAAATATTTCATTAATCCTTCAGCATTTTTTTTTTTTTTTAATTTGAGGGTGACAATCTTAGCAGAGTACTCAGGCAGTCAACGGCCCTAACCTTTTTTTTTACAATCTTTTCATTTTTTTAACAGATCAATGATTTATAACCATATTTTTATTTAGTTCAACAGAACTTATGGGTTTTCATCTGCAAAGAACCCGTTGACGCCGTTGCATTTTTACTCACCAAGACGATGAGCCGAGCCATAAACGTGATATTTAGTGCATGTAAATTCAAGTTAGCAAATGTACTCTGAACTTTAAATGAATGTCTCTAGCTATACCTTACATTATATATAAATAATAAGTCAAAAAGCACCATAAAAAAAGTTATTTCCTGATAAATCGGCAAACATGAAGGTCATTCAACAGCTCTAAAAAGAGAGAGGACATGTTGCAGAAGCCTTTCTCGGATGACAGCTTTTGATGCAATGTGTGTGGGTTCTGTGGTACCCAATACTTGAAGTTCTGCTTGTTGACCTAATCATTTGGATGAAAATGTGCTTCATCGGACATTATTGGGTGATCAGGAATTGGGCCTTTTTTTAAAACTTTTTGCAACAATTTCCTTAAAAATTTACTCTGTTCAATGTTTTTCCAAGTAATACTGCACTATAACTAAAAAGGTTTTGCTTAGCATTGTGTGTTTCATTGCACCACATACAAAGAAGATATACACCACACCACGTACATATATACTTCAATGCTCACCAAAAGCTTGTTCACAACATTAGTACAGTAATTCAACTAATTTCAAGCTCTAACTGTGCAAAAGAAAGTGCAGAATGAATGTATTTATAGCATACTTATTTACTCTAGACTTATTAATAATCGACATGCTAAAACAGCTAATCTGTATCAGAATTTCAAACATTTAAATACATTCTGTTAAAATTGCTGCTAAACACCTCTCATGTATTTGACACCTTTTACAAGATCTTTTAACCTTTAAACTTTTTTGCAAGATCTTAATATCTTTAGATCTTTGCAAGAACCGTGATCTTCATCAGATTATTTCAAAAAAGAAAATGAGCTAAGTTGATTTAATTTTATGAAAATAATGACACTTAACACTTTTTCAAAATTATTTCATCAAACATTAAACTTAAATATCACAGTTATAAGAAAAAAAGCAAGCATATATTATTTTCGAAAACGAACAATTTCGATTACCTTTGATGAATTTTCTATCTGTTAACATCTCACAAATCTAATACAGTACAAAAAATTGCCAACTAATCACATATTTAAATTTTTATGATTTAAATTTAGTTCTAAAAAAAATAAAACTAAGAAATTTACACTTTTTTAAAACTAATAAAATCTATGGTATTACTTCAAATGAAGTTTAAAATGAAATGAACTTGGATAAAAATTTAAGCTTACTTCTCTAAAATGAATAGCTTTGAGTAACTGCGATAAATTTCTAGTGTTGTCAATAGAAGCTTCCAATACATATTCGCAGTTATCCTGACTACCTTGTGCATTCAGCTTTGAAGCCATGTATTTCAATGACTTTAAAAATATATATTTAAAAAAAGAAAAATGATTGGCATGCTATAAATATGTTTATTTATTTATTTCCATTTAAAATTTCCGCCAAATGAAATTTTCTGCAGACGACTACACGATGGTTATAGATAACTTCTACCAACTATTTCTCATGTCGACAGTATCTTAGATACTTCAGCTACTGTTGTTTCATAGTCTACTTTCAAATATTAAAAATATTAGCTCTCATAAAATCAGAAATTAAAATATTTATTATTCATTTTTTATAATATAAACTAGGGAAATAAATCATTGCTAAATATAGCACAGTAATCTATCCGCGCCGCGTCATTGACTTTCGTTATGGGTCAGAGAGAGTACACTTTAAAGTTTTCGTGGTTTTAACCGCTGTCAGGGATTTTTAAATTTTATAATGTATACAGTATTTAAGAACATATTAAATTTCTTATTTAACTTCTACAGTCCAAGATGAATTTAAATGAAACTTATAATGGTAACTATTTTTCAGTATTTATTATAATTGTGTAAATATGAAACATAATATTGTAAAATTAGCAATATGAAAATCCAGAAACATTATGTAAACACATTTTTCTTCTGGAATTTGCTTTGAAATGAGGCTTGTCAAAAAGGCTTTTTTTAGTTTGCATAAATTTTGATCAGAAGATTGTGTTTTTCTCCATTTAATACATCTATGGAAGCATTAAATTACAAAAGTCAATTATAATCAAGAGCAAAAAATATCATCTTGTTTTCAACATAAAATATAATCTAATTATTAGCTTCTAAGAATTTTAGAATAGTAATAATGTAATAAAGTAGATAATAGTAAATATGTAAGGCATTCTCTACTTTAATGTTAAGGAAGTATGTAATAATATGCAAAATCTAAAACGTTCTGACATATGACTATTCATGTCATATTCATTTCATTGTTATAAAAATGCTTTCTTCAAGCATAGAATTTCTTAATTGTTTATTGATGATATATACTTTTTCAGTATATAATCTGTGAAATGTTTGAATAATTTCTTGATCATATTCTTCAGCCATATGTATGTGAGGAATCTGAAGTTTTTAACTTTTTATAATCCAAAGTTAATTAACTCTCTTGTATGTTTCAGTTTTTAATAGCTGCATTAAATTTTGCATTACTTTTTGCAAGTATAAAAAGTCACATAATATGCTATTAAAATATTTTATTTCTTTGAGATACATCCCTTCATTTCAGTCTTTTTTGAACTAGCCAATGGAGTGAACTGGTAAAAGTATATTTACGGGTACTCCTTGGTGAAAATTGCTGGTATATGGATACCGAGTTTGTGCAATTCTTTGACTTGGTATTTTGGCTTGCGTAGTGATGATTTTTGTGATAAAAATTGTAGCTACACAAAGTCAAAATAACAATACAAAGAATTGCACAAATTCGGTAGCCATGTACACATCGACCTATTTTCACTTAAAAAAAAGGCTAATCTTTGGAATATGGTAACAGGTAATTTGGCAACATTTTGGTAAGGCGATCAAGTTTATTAACTAGGACTTTAGCAGTGTACATGGATAAAGTCAAGAGTGTGCGCAATGCCACTTTTGTGCAATTCTGGGATGTTTTTTTTAAGTGAAAATAGGTCAAATGTGTACATGGTTACCGTGTATGTGCAATTCTTAAAAACGCGGCAAGTAGTTTGTGATTCTGCACTTTCTCCCAATTTCGCACCTCATCTTCGTCATGATTAAGCACTTTTGTTCCATAAAAGTTCTAGCATAAGATTGATTGGGTTAGCAAATTGTTGGAAAAAAATGTTGGAAAAAAAAAATGCCTTTACTTCGTGAAAACAAAATTGAGTCCAAAAACAAAGGTTGCTGTAGCAGTGTTGGGCGCCAAATTTTTGCCAAAAAATCACCAAGTTACCATAATACAAAGATTAACCGAAAAAATTGGACAATTGCACAAACTAGGCATTGCACACTCCCTTGACTTTGTTCGTGTATACATCGAACTATATTTACTTAAAAATTCAAAGGAGCAACCAACAAAAAAATATATAATCTCAATAAACTGCATTTTAAATCAAACAATGAATTAATCTTTGCACTACACAAAGGAAATATCCCCTTACCTTATTTACGAATTAGCACGTCTTCAGTCAAACAGCATCAAAAACTTCCTAAAATTATCTGAACTAGAATCTGTATGCTGGCATCACCACATAAATTTACAAAATAAGAGTCAAACATATTCTCCATAGTACCATATTGTTTGACCATACACATTAACCTCTTACAAACAGGACACTTAATAATGGCTACTAAATAAACCTTCATTTACACAACAGTCAAGTAATGCTCTTTTCTCTTCCCCTTTCTTTCCAAATCTTACAGAAACTTCCAATTAATCTTACCACATTCAGCCCTTTTACCATCTAAACCAAAAAACAAACAATGTACTTTCTAACCAACACACACAACAAGCCCTTACAAATTCACCGCAATCATGCAACCGATTACATCATAATAGGGTTTTCCATACCATTCAAATACTAAGGCTACCATTAATAAACCACCACTTGGCGATAAATGAAACAACAACTTCACGATAATACAAGGGGTACCCTTCTCTTTACTCTAACCCCTGAACTTAACTAGGACTATTGCGAACCATGGGAGAGATGTGGTCGGCAGGAATAGAGTACTGGCAAACATCACACATAAGGGGAAAAAAAAGGCATGAATGAAGTTCTCATCATATTGCTAGCTGTATTGAAAAGAAAAATTGAGAAGCAAATAATTGTATTGATAAAATATTGGAAAAATCTGTAAAATATGAAATCAATTTCAATTAGTTTTAAAGAGATTAAATCCAGATAACTTTAGCAAAAATTAACAATGGTTTTTGCGGACACAGAGAAAGTATCCCACATACATACATAGCTAATTTTTATCTGATGTCAAATTATTGGCAGAATATGACGTTTGATGAATGATGTTATAAAAATGCTCTCAAGCACTGTTAAATATTTGAATCCTGCAATATAAAATGAGTCGACTGATTGTTTAAATAGTAGTTGTTTGAAAACAAAAAGCTTTTGGATGAAATTAAAAGTTCCCTTTTTTATTTCTTTGTACAAAGTAAAGAGAGTATCGTAATCGCAGAAAACTTTGGTTTCCATATTTCAATGGAAATATTCATTTTGGCCGTTCCCAAACCCATCTGCGACCGAGCGGTCAGTCGCTGAACACTGGTAATTTGGTCCGAGGTCTGAATCCCCCGAACAGGCTGGCTGCATGGGCCTTAATAATTTCCCCATGTGTAACCTGTATACGATCCAGTTTCCCTTAGAAAGACCTCCATGAAATCATCCCTTGCCCTAGGCAGATAGCACTCTAGGCTTTGGTCATAATCACATAAACCAAACCAAATCGAATCCATTTGGCTCCCCCCCTTTTTTTTGCGCTGTGTCACGTCTGTTTGTGTAGACAGAATAAAAAACTTAAAAAAAAAAAAAAAAAAAAAAAAAAAAAGATTGTAAAATAGGTTAAAAATGGATTCAAAAGGGATTTTTTCTTAACATCTGTATAATCGCACGTACGTACATATGTATGTATATATATGCATCGCATAACTAAAAAAATGATTAGCAGTAGAATGTTGAAATTTTGTACATGGGACTGCTATAATAAAAAAATTAGAAGTTTGACTCCCGTACGACAAAGCCAACCAGCGACTGAGCAGTAAAGTCGCTGAACACTGGTAGTTCGAATCCCACGAACGGGTTACATGGGCGTTTTCGTGCTTTTCCCCACGTGTAACGTGTATACGAGCCAGTTTCCCTTAGAAAGTCCTCCACGAAGGCATCCCTCCCCTTAGGCAGATAGCCCTAGTGTGCTTTCCCATAATTAAATACACCAAACCAAACTTGTACGACAAAAACTGACCGGGATATTTAATTCAAAATTTGCAGTTTTTGATGTCATTTTCAACTTGCCTTGAGGTATAGGTTAATTAAGTTAGAATCATTTGAGGAAATAACCTTAAATGAAGTGCAGCAAAAAATGTGCATAATTTAATAGGCTGTACAAGGAAGCCATGTGTGTCCATATCAAATTTTTAACTATTATTCCTGATCTGATAAAAATCGTTATCAAAATGTTGGCTCCTGGAAATCTCGATTTTTTGGGGGGGGCAGTACTATAAATATATTTGGGGGCCCAAGAAATTTTTTACATAGGTGCCCTAGAGTTCTAGTTACACCACTGGTTACACATAAGGAAAACCATGAAGATATCCAACATCCAGATTGTTTGCCAGAATTCTTACCTGAATCAAAATAATCTATCTTAAAAAAAGTCTTAACTACTTGTTTGCTGTTGAGCCAAAATTTACTTTGGCAGTTATATTGTAATTCTAAATGTCATTGCATTATATGCTTTAAGTGTAATTTTAACTACAAAGTAACTGCGATAAATTACAAACAATAACAGATAGCTTACATTTTAAAGATAAATTAAAGATTTTACACTTTGCTAAATGATAACATTCTGAGAAACTGCTATGTGCGTGTGTGAATTAAGATCTTATATTTCATACACTGGTGGCACTTGTTGAATGCTGCTTTTAGATTATTTCCATTCATCACATACTTTAATTTCGAGGTATAATGTCTGCAAAGTTTGTTTTCTAAGGACAGTATTTAATATAAGAAGTAAAATAATGTCCTGTTCTTAAGGTCTAACGAACAGCGAGTACTAATAAATTTAATTGTAATCACATTTTAATTCTAGTTAATGCACATATATGTAATTGTACAGTTTATAATACAGTTTCATTATAATTGCATGATTTATAATTACAGTTGCACTGTAATCAAAGTATTTCTCATGACAGTTATAGTGTGATTGCTTAAATTGTAATTTATATTACTGTTGTAATAATTGTAATAATTACATTTTAGTTGAATTATGCCCAATTTTGATACAACCAATATAGGACTGAATTTTGACTAAATTAAAATTTGAACTCTATTTTAAGTTTTTATTCCATTTGTTATATCTGACTATAAAAGTTTATATTAAGTAATTTACATGTAATATTCTAATCTTGAATAATGTTTATTTTGAATTAATTGCCTTTCAGCATATATCTGTGGGTGCTTTATGAGTTGTAATGATGCTAAGGACAAGAGACCATGTCCTAAAGCCCCCACTTCGCATTACAGAATTACTTCAGGTTAGTTTTTTAAGCTCTTTAAACTTATTTTGGTATGCTGTACAAAAAGTTCATTTTTCAAAAATAAAAAAAAAAAAAAAAATTAAATTTGTAGTTAAGGTAAACAATATGTTTAAAATTTTTTTTATTAATCATGCTAATGCCATAAATGTTAAAGAAGCTTATTGCTGCAGAAATATTAAAGTATTATTAAAAATACATACTATATTACTGTATGTATTTTTAGGTATTATTCAGTGTGTATAATTCCAAAATCCAGACTTCCAGATCACTAGCAATACATTTTTTAAAACGGTTTTTTGTGAAAAGAGAGAAAGAATCAGATTTCGAGAGTAGCATCTGGTTTATGCTTAATGCATCACGTATGCACCATAAACATTTTTTCACAATAAAGCATGTGGAAGGATTCTTAATTTCACTTCATTCAATTTCAATTCATTTTAAATTCAGCATTAAATAAAGTAGCTCCATATTGAAAAAACAATAATTTATTAGTATAAATCTGTATGATTAATAATTTGGCTGCCTTTTTGCTTGGCATACATCTCAAATTAAAATAATATGCCAAAGTTCAACACTGATTTTTACATTTGCTGAATAATTTATATCCCTGATGACACTGATTTTTACATTTGCTGAATAATTTATATCCCTGATGACACTGATTTTTATATTTGCTGAATAATTTATATTCCCGATGACACTGATTTTTACATTTGCTGAATAATTTATATCCCTGATGACAAAGTAGCAAATCATTTTTTATTATCTGTTGCTTTCTTTTACTACATGACTATCAACTGATGGCAGCTTGAGAAATGACTTGTGCAGCCATGTCTAAAACTTTATTTTTTAAACATTAGTAATTGAGTACAAAACAGTACTGGGCAATGATTACAGGTTTCAGCCAACTGTGTTAAGCTTGTTGACAAGGAAAAATTTAATAGTAATTTCTTTCCATATGCAAAAAATAGATTTTGTAAATGATATCGGTAAGCTAAAAGATTAAATTCAGTGCCGGTTGTATTAACAATAGCTGATTTGTAGTCGAAATAAGCTGTTAGTATAGGTGAAAATGTATTTTTTCAGGACTCTGATAAACCTTCAGCATATCCAGGAAATACAAGAAGCAATACAAAATTTAGCAGAACAACACATCTGTAATCATCAGTCTCAATGATACATCAACAGTAGTGTGTAGTGGATGCTAGGTATGCTTTATGATGATACACGTGAATTTTAAGAATTTCGGATATCACAAACAAAAAGCAAAATTTTCCAACTAATAAAATTTGTGAAAAATGGTATAAATGAAGATGATGTCGTAGAAGTTTTCTGTTGTGATGACAGTGCCGCAGCAGTGGCAGATTGGCCAAGGAAATCAGCCTTGGCAGGAAAAAATGTCGGCCCCATATGAAATATCATTTATACATATAAGTTATCATCATCATCATCCTAAAAAAATAATTTTATAAAATAAGAATATACCTTTGCAGAAAAGTAACACTTTATATATATATATTCAAATAAACTGCAAACAATAAATAACAGTGACTAAATAATTATATAAACAAAACAGCGTCTAATTCATAATTAGCCATTTAAATATTTTTAATTCCAGGTGCCTGGGCAAATATTTCCTCCATTATATCTTCAGTTTTTGCTTTAGCCAAAATATCCTTCTCTATATTCATCAAGAGCAGTTACTTTTTACAATTTGTAATTTTAAAAAAGCTCTTTCACATTCGTTGTTGTACATAGGGTGAGTACAAACTTATATGCAAAAAAGACATTGGCGTACATATTACTATATAAATTATCTTTCAAGAGTAATTGACATGCACACAAAATGCAATTTTTTCAAAAACTGCAGTTATCTTTGGACCATGCTCATTAATAGATAGAGCACTCTCTCCTTCTGACTTGGTATTGGATTCAAAATAATGATTTTTAATTCAATTTTTTAGTATTTCCCATTTAATTCCTAGATCTTTATATTTGTTCTGATTCCTGATATTTTTAAGATTATTATCAATTGTTACACCTTCATAGTGCCCTAATATTGTTGTGTGCGTACGGGTTCGTTATGAAATGAATGCACAAGTCCGATGAAAAATGAACAAAAATTTATTATTATCGCAACAAAAATGCTTAAATTTTCTCAAATAATCGTGCAGTATTACAATATATCACAGTAGTTATCTTTTAACTACTCAAATGCCCAATAGAACGTAATTCAAAACATCTAAAGAAAGCTAATCCACGAATTCGCTACAATCAACAAGAGCAGTTTTCTAAACAACAACAAACTAAGCAACTTCTACGAACTGAGATGTTTTCCTTCTTTTATAAGATTTTTAAAATCACGCGCTAGAATTTTCCAGTACTTTCTTGAAATCAAAAAGAGATATTTATTTATTTAATGCACGCGTTCTTGTATTTTCAATTTTCTGGCTTAGCTTTCTTTTAATATTCGTCACGCGTTGCACTGCACGAGAAATAAAACCATTTAATTTATAATTGAACTAACATTAGCTTTTTAAATACCAAATTTGTAACACTGCCCCCTTCCCAAGGACTGCACGTCCCGGGCAGTACAATCCCTGGACAGGAAGCCAAACTTACAACTAAAGGCATAAATGCAATAATAAACATTACATTACAATAGTAAACAACATGAACAATAAATGCAATAAATAAAACAAATCAAATGCTATCAAATACTAAATACAAATCAAATATTTTACAAATTTAAATAAAATTTAAATAAAATAAAAAGTAAAAGAGATAAAAGTCGATTATAGGAGAAATATTGCTTTAAACATGCTCTCTTGAAGGAGCAGGGAATGGATCAATATTTCAATCGTGTTTTTCCATATTTAAAGGCACTACTACTATGATGTAAAGTTATTCCAAGTAAATAAACAAGTACTTTTTAAATTATATAGAAAATGAAAATATATAAATTAGTAATATAATAATGTTAGAAGTGAAAAAAATATAGATATAATAATTTAACTAAATTCTTCCTCCTGTCTCCAACCATCTATGATGGCTCTATATATGGTTGATGATGCCATGAGAATAGACTGTTATGTGCACAGTAGCTTTATTAACCCTGCGGTCTTCTGTAATGTTGCAGTTTATGAAATAAAAATTAATAATACATTATATGTATTGCAGTAGGTAAATAAAACTTGATTTTAAAATTTTCATTCTGGATAACTTTTCTGTTTCTTCTTCAAGTATACAATCTTAAAAGTGGAGGCCTTTAATCAGAACTGGGATTTCTTTGACATTAAAACCAGGATGTACAGAGATTACCGTTACTATTCAAATAGTTTTTATTCTGTTAGCATTCTTTGCTTTGACTAAAGACTATAAAATTCCTATTTTAGAATTACTTTTTAATGTTAAATTTCTGTTATCAGATTTTTAATTTTATGTATTACTTTAAATGTGCTAGTTTTGTGATTAATGTGTTTTAAAATTTGTTAGTTGACTCACCTGAGAATTCCCTTAGAACACATAACATGGCCACGTGTGACAATGACTTCAGATCAATGGATCTGCATACGTCATTCTATAATGTATGTATTGCTATCAAATGTTTTTGTATTTTTAATAAGATATTAATATATGAAAATGGCAGTTTGATTTATATTATTATTCCCTCCCATAGGAGATCAAATTACAGAAATGGTACTGCAATCACTGTATTGAATCCTCACAATTCCTTGCCTCAGACGTGGCAAGCGGTAGCTGATTGTGCCCAGATGAATCCTATAAAACCAGTTATTGCAGTTAAAGGTAATTTATGATATAAATATCAATATAATTTATTTTTTCATTATTTTGTATTTTTTAATATGATTGAAAGAATAGTTACTTTTTATCATGATTAAAAAAATCTGAAGTGTGCACTACATGACTTCCTTGTACGGAATATTAAATTATACACATTTTTTCTTGCATTTCATTTAAACTTATGGGATTGAATTAAATATACTTCGTCGATAGCGCATAAACCACAAAGAATAAATGCACTGTTTAAAATTCACTATATTTGTTTACCATAGCCACACTCTGGCCCTAGGTTCACTTAACAGCATTACATTTCATTCATTTTTTAACTCAGAATGCACCAAATTTATATCATCTTAAGAATTATCTAAATCATTGCCACATGTTCTATTCAAATACTATAATAAATCTAAAACTATGTACAAAAGAATTAAGCAAAGAACAACAACAACAAAAAACAAAGTTTTTCAGATGATTCAGTATTTCTCATTCAATTAATTCAGTTCTCACTTCGCGACAAGACAAAAATACATAAAAACTCAAAATGTCTGTATTGAAAATTATGAAGTAAATCTTAAACACTTATTTCTTTGAATGAATTCCAGAATGGATTAAGCATGATTTAATTCATAGTAATAAAAGAAGGCATTATCTTTGTTATTGTGAAGCTCACTTTCTTTAGACCAGCAACAAATCTACTGTTCTGCTGTTTCAAATGTAAAAAAGCAATGGCCGCCATGGCAAAAATTATTAGGTTTAGTGACACTTAAACAATGCTACATTAATCTACTTAAGTGAAACAATAACTTAAGGTACTTACGTATTATCGCAACCAGGTTGGCACTATTTGTAAGTTTGAGTAAAAAAGTATGAATAGAAAGAAAATGTACATTTATTAATTACAGATAATTTTTAATACAGTTTTTTATGTTACAGTCAAAAGTCGTTAATCCGGACTCGTCGGGACTTCGGCGATTCCGGATTATCGATTTTTCCGGATTATAGATTATCAGTTTAAATCTGGTAAAATGACATGCAGAAATTATAAAAGTAAAAATATGAAACCTTAATTTACGAAATAAAGAACAATTATGATCTAAAGGGTATCAAAATTTACAAAAAAAAGCTTAATATTTATTTGTTTACTTTATTAAACATTTCTTTCAATGTAAGTTGTTTCAGTTGCTTCGTTTTTTATGTGATAATACATTCTCTTTAATTCTATAAACAGACATAATTTCTTGTTCAGTTACAAAGTTCTGCTGTTCAAGTCCTATAATTGCTGTGTCGAGAATACCGACTAATTTGTCGAGAATACCGAAATTTTTTCGTTTTCAATAACCTCTGTCACTTTCTTCGCTATACGAAGCGAATTATAATGACGAGGAATTTTATTTAAATTATATCAAAGAGAGTACATTGAGATGAAATACTGCATTTAGTAAGGAATTATAATCCAAATAAAATAAAAACATCTGCCCTGAAAATAAGGATAGTGCTGACAGATCGACTTCCAATTCATTCCTTAAATTTTGTTCAAAAAAGAGCAAAATATGACAGAAAAAAGGTCACTGTATTTTTTTCATTCTTGAATGACTGAATATGAAGAATTAATGTAAAAAATAACTGGAATTGTTTACCCTTCCTGTCTAGTTTTTAGCCTTTGCTTGGGAAAATATTTTGCACTATTCCTAATAATTATCATTATAAATTTCCGATTGTATTGGTCTGAATTGTCTTAATTTACTATGCACATTAGATTAAGGCATCCACAGGGGCTCACTCTTTATGAGACAGGTGTAGCAATCTTGAGGAAATCTAGTCCTTCAAGGTATCATCCTCTTGACGATGCAAGTTTTAAACATTTTGTGGTTTAGTTGTTGGAATGTATTTGGCATAAGTGTGAAAAAAGCAATACTTAATAATAAAGTTAAAACAACCTCCCCCCCCCCGCCCCCGAAAAAAAAGTAATGGGTTAGCAGGATTGAGTGTGTGAACAGATTGGTAGACAGCAAGCTCATTGAGATCATAAAAAAAAACCTTAAATCCTTTTGGGCTACCATTAAAATCTGAACTTTTGAGATTTCTTTTTTCTTTATTTGTTCAAATATTTTACAAATATATTATTAATAGACTTTTGGGCGACCATTTAAATCTGAACTTTTGCAATTTCTTTTTTCTTAATTGTTCATGTATTTTACAAATATATTAATAACAGACTTATTAGTATTTATTCATATTCACTGTTAAAGTTTTTATTGTCTTAATTTTTAATGTGCACACATTTTAATATTGCTTTTGTTATAACCAGATGAGCAAAATCTGCATGTGCACCACATTGAAATAAAATCAACTAAGATAATATTGATGATCTTGAAAATTAAAATTCCCTTATCATATTGAAATTTAAACATATTTCTTAGTTGGTCAAAACATTGAAGACATCTGTACCAGAAATTTCGTTCTTTAATAGCTAAGCTGAATACCAGCATTAAACATTGGAAAAACAATAAACATATTTCAATAATCAGTATAATTTTTATAGAATCACCATCAGTTAAAAGCAGTTTGAATATTTGTTTAGAGCAATCGTTTGATATGCTTAAAAAATAAAATTTAATGATCTCCAAATTAAAATTGGAAATGCTTTCAGTACATGGCTTCAATAAAAGTCACCTAGTAGACTGATGTCTGAAAATTTGAGTTCTAGTTTCTACTAAATTTTATAAAGAAAAACTTTAACTCCACATTTTTCTCATGTGTTTAGATAAATATATCTTCAGTATCATGTGTCAAACTACAAATCTGTAAGATCATTACAAAAAAAGTATTTGTTTAATGATTTAACAGTTTTAGCAGAATCAGGTAACTTTTGCATACTAATTAGGGTGTCCAACTCTGTCAAGTATTAATACAAAATATATTAATAATTTTTATTATTATTGTAAATTATTTAAATATAATATTAAAATTAAAGTTCATGTAAAGAAACAGTTGCTTAAAGCTTTGCTTTTAGCTTTCTCAATAATTGCAACAAATTTCTGGTATTTTGAAAATGAAATATTTAACAGACTTTGAATTAGCTATTTGACAAATGTAGAATTTTCATCATTCTTCTAAATTCGTAATTGCTGAAATAAGAAAAAAATTTCTAAGTCATGGTAATATTTTCAGATTCTGCATTATGTATTTTTTTTTCAAATATTGATGATCTTGAAAATTAAAATTCCCTTATCATATTGAAATTTAAACATATTTCTTAGTTGGTCAAAACATTGAAGACATCTGTACCAGAAATTTCGTTCTTTAATAGCTAAGCTGAATACCAGCATTAAACATTGGAAAAACAATAAACATATTTCAATAATCAGTATAATTTTTATAGAATCACCATCAGTTAAAAGCAGTTTGAATATTTGTTTAGAGCAATCGTTTGATATGCTTAAAAAATAAAATTTAATGATCTCCAAATTAAAATTGGAAATGCTTTCAGTGCATGGCTTCAATAAAAGTCACCTAGTAGACTGATGTCTGAAAATTTCACAGAATTATGTTCCTACAAATAAGTTAAATGGACACTATTTTCTATATACACATTCAAGTTCCCCATATCACATTTTTCTGCATTATATATAACATAAACATTGTAATTAGTTTTAACATTGCCTTCAATGTAATAATGTTAGTATATTAGGAATGCATTATTCCGAAATTACAGCTTGTATTGTCTGTACTAAAATAAGAAATTATCAGACTTGCCAACTCTCCCGATTTAGGCGGGAGACTCCCGATTTTCGACCGCTCTCCCGCCAACCCGATTTACAATATATTTCTCCCGACTTTTTCTTATTCTTAAAATTTCTCACGATTTTTATGGAACTTGGCTTAATACTTTGTTATATGAACAAAAAAAGTGATTTTGGACGTCCGAAGCAAATGAATTTTCTCTAGATTATATCTAAAACAAAACCTTGCGAATTAGATAACTTCTGCTTTGTGAGTGAGAGCATATACATATCCAGAAACGTCCTTCTCCAGTTCTCCAATGGGCATCGTGCTCCACTGCGTGTCATCTGGCATATATTAGCCAATGAGGACAAAACAAGCTGTTATTTGGATGTTCTTTAGTTATTTCGGTCATTTTGTCCTGAGTTGTGTGAGTACACGTGCCTTTGGGAAATATTTTAGAAATTATCATCTTGTTATGTCTGCGAGAAAGGTGAATACTCGTGTACGTTTCAAAAATTCGTACACAGTTGATTTTCCTTCCAATTATTTCCTCAAGGAAATGTAATAAATTTGCGATGTGTACCGTCTGTCTTTGCGATTTTTCGATTTTCGCATGGTGGAAGGGCAGATGTTCTCAAAAATGTGCGTACACAAAGACACAAGGACAACATGAGTTGTTTTGAAAAAAAAAAAAAAAAAAAAAAAAAAAAACGAAAAATTAAATTTTCCGTCATCGGAAACAAAAAACCAAAAAGTTATTAATGCAAGAATGTCTGTTCTCTACCTTTTTACTGGAGCACAACCTGCCACTGACTGCATTCGGATCACGCTGCAGCTTTATTTAGAAAAAATGTTTCCTGGATAGTGAAATCGCTAAGAAATACTCAAGTGCAAGGAACCAAAACAAGTGCAATTGTTAAAGAAATGGGATTTGAAAAATAAATCTCAGTTATTGATCGCATTTAAAACAGCTCCGTTCTGCCTCTCTACGGATAGAAGTAATAATACTGATTCAAAAGTGTATCCAATTGTTGTTTTTTTTTTTTAATCCAGAGTCTCAGAAATTGAGTGCAGTTTACTTTTCTGTCCCACTTTGGAAGGGGACATTTGACAGGCTTTAATATAGCACAGCTAATTATTAAAACTTTAAAAGAAAATGCAGTCCCTCTGGATAATTGCTTAGCACTAGGTGGCCGATAATGCACCAGTATTGGTAGGCTTGAAGACTGGTGTTGCAGGCATCTTCAGAAAGAAAAATTCAGATTTGCAGATTATGA